AGGAATGCCAAACTGTCTATTACTTTTCCTAGTCAGCATAGGATCAGTCTTTGCAAAGCATTTTTTTCCCCCAAAATGTGATAAACTGACTTTTAATACAGAGAAATTTTCATCACCTTGGTTATATCCATCAGCTCAGCATCAAGCTGGGAGATTGCATCTTGCACTGAAGAATGATGGGAATAGTGCCGTTGTAATGTTTCTTGTATTTGAAGCTGGATCCTCGCAACCTTGTTTAAAAAGAAAAATAAAATATTTCAAGATTGGATTAATTTAATCAAAGCTTAAGAGTACACCCAGAATTAACTTTAACCTATTTAAATGTAGAAGTATTACTGTCTTACACCTCAGAGTCTCCTACCAACTGGATAACTTTGCCACGTTGGGAAGAAAGCACAGAAAACTCTTTCTACAGAACTTGGTAATAAATATGTGCAATGAGACAAAGTGAAATAATGCCTTTACAGTGTAGCTTAGATTAGTATTTTTTCTTACTTCCATTTTCTCTTCTAGTTCATGTAGGAATTCACCATCTGCAGCTATAGAGGATATGGCAGTGGAACTTTTAGCACTCAAAATGGCACGTGCAATGTATTCAAGACGCTGCTGAAGAGAAATTTCTGTGCTGCAAAACAAATATGCAAAATAAAATTGGTACGTAATATAATTATTTGAGGGTTAGTTATATTCTAACTAGACTCTGGGAATTAGTATGTGACTTCTTCCGATTTCACTAAATCATGCAGGACATTATCCAACCATGTAACCCCATCTTTGTTGCAGGCTCAATTCTAGCGTACTTCTCAATCCACTGCTCCACAGTTGTACTATCACATTATAAAATCCTGTGTAAGAAATGACCACTTAACATACAGTGCTTACAACAGGAAATACATTGCAAGCTAATGTATAATACATAAAATAAACATACAATTTCTTTCCAATAATGGCCTGGATTAAAAGCTAATATATTCCATTCATTTAAAAAATTTTTAGCAAACATCCTTGGGCATTGGCCTTTTCTTGTCCTTGGTTTTTCCTTAAAATACCTACACACAAAAGGTTTTGATTTTAGTTTGTTTGGTTTTTCCCCGATTACATCAATACGTGTAATAGATCACACATAATCCATACCTATGCAGGTCAGCCAACTTAGCCAAGACTCTGGCTGCATTACTAAAATTTCTGTTCTTTTCAAAGTATCTCCACAGTAAATCCATATAACGGACTTTGTTTTGGTCAATCTTGGTCATCCGCACAAGGTAGGGTTCCAAAAAGGGGGCGGTAACCTGCAAAAGTCATAAAGGTAACATTTATATTCTTGCTGTCTCCCCTTTTTTAAAGCATCAGCTTTATTACAATTAACTCTTCCAGTTCAGTGGAACCCTCCAACAAATTATTTCATTGTATAGAGATGAGCTCACCTGTAACAGTTTGTCTGCCAAGTCAACTTGTATCAACCAGTTGTAAAGTGCAATACTGAAGAGTTCATCTGTTGAACGCTGAGCCAGCTTTAGCATTTGTTCAAACTAAGGGAAGAAGAGGCCAAAGCTGTTATTCCAGAAGTGGTTACATTACATCAAGCACTGAATACGTATGTGACAATACTTAGGTTCACGTTATTTGCATGTCATCACTTCTATGAACACTCTGTACGTAAAAAAGCCAACTCATGACAAATCTTGACTTTTATCTACTTTGCTAAACTATTCTGTAGTTTTTTAAAAATAATAAATTCTACACCCCTTCAAATCACACTACTTTCTGGTCTGCAGTCATGATTTTTTGTGAGTTTCTTACATGATGCCCTGCTTCTTCATTGCTTAGCATGTTGGGGTCAGATGACAGCACTGGAGGACCTGGCTTTTTGGGTACACTGGGAGACTGAGGAGCAGCTTTACTTTGATTCACTAATTCTTGAAGGGTGTCAGTGATACACTTGTAGCTGTTCAACCTGTAAATAGAGCAAAAGAAAATAAAAGCCTCACAATTTTCATTGCAACTACCTATGAAATACTCTTCTCAAATGTTGTTATTGTATGCCTTTGTAAACACAATTACTAAAATTTGGAAGAGGTCACAGATTATTATCAGCTAGTTGCCACAATCTAGTTTGTTCACAATCATCTTTCTAACAAGTATTTCTGTAATGTTCAGATCACAATGTTTTCTGCATCTATCAGTTTACCCTCTGCTCCAGATTAAGTTGGTGCCATATTAATGATAATCAAGAAGAGAATACTGGGCAAAACCATCTAAATTGTGTCTCTTACTATAAAATGCTTGTTTGTCATTACCCTGCATATCTTCCCCAAGAGTTACTTTTCCAGTCCCTTGAAATAAAGCACCCCACGTAATGGTAATAAGGTATTCTGAAAACTTGCCTCTCTTGAAAAGCTTGGAGTCCAACAATATCCTCTTCTGGTTCTCCGTTTTTATAGAAATGAAGGCCAAGACCTTGGGGATCTTTCTTCTCAGCAGCTGTAAGAGAGAGTTCTACTACTCCCTCATAGAAACGCACTAGAAAAAACCCAAAAGATATCACCATTCATTATTGTATTAAATCTATGACAAAATGGTAAGTGACATCAAACACTTCCCATTTTAGCAAGCAAGAAAAAATAAACCTTAGTCACTCTGGTGTGTATTGTATAAAGGTTTATGCCTGTACCTAACCTGTGGGATTATATGCAAGTCTGAAGTTACATATTTGTACAGAGGCTGAAATCTTCATTATTACGACAGTTATATCTACATTTAAATTATGTAGTATCTTCTATTGCACAAAACAGGATTCATAACCATCTTTCAGACAGCATATTTGGTACAAAACCCTACCTTGCAAAAGTACAGTCATTTACCCTCTGCTTACATACAGCCCAACAATTTTCCTAAAAACATTTTTACCACATATATGAAACAAGTGGACACTGCAATTTGAAATAAGTGGATGGGAATATTTTTATACAGAAGTGGGTTTTTTGATTGGTTGGTGAAATCTAGAAAGGCTTTAAACAAGAACAGGTTGATGGCTGGTGAAATCTAGAAAGGCTTTCAAAAAGAACAGGTTGACCTATATTAATTGTAAGAGCTATTAAACTGTTTATGGTAAAACGCTGTAGAACGAGTTGAAAGTTAGTAAACAAAACAAACAAAAAAGAAGACGGCACAAAAGGATACCAGAGATATTTACCAGAACATGATCAGGGATTGCCTCTTACCTTGCCTATATTGCGCACAAACATTAGCAAGATCTACTTGATTGCTGATCTTCTGGTACTCTTTCAGTGACTCTCTTAGCATCTTTTCTTTTTCCAGTTTGCTCTGAGCCTGTCGAGACCGCTGAAGCAGTTCATTTGCCTGAATACAAATGATGGGAAAATGGAAATTACTCACACGAACACATCATGAACAGATCATGGATATTGTTGTAAGTTAATGAGTTATTATTCCAAACTTCAAAACTGAAACAGTAGAAACATCATCCTCTCAAAAGCACTCTCTCGTCACTTGATAACACTAGTTTTCAGCAGAAAGACCGTACAATGGGAATACAGAGAAGGGCTTTAGACTTAACCAACTGATTCCCCGTTCTTCCCTCACCAGTTACTTTTTTCACATTTATTTGAAGAGCTTCAAAGAGTGAAGTTCTTAAACACAATTACCTTTCCACAAATTCCATGAAAGTAGGCAACAGACAGAAAACAAAAAACTATGCTGAGGAAAGACTGGAGTAAGAACACCTTTTATCAACATCAAGACGACAGTTTTATTAGACATCACATTGGAGGTAGAGACCCTATGAACACTACAAATAACTGCAAATGCTTCAAATTAGAGCTTGCGTAATTTTCAGCGTTAATCAACTATAAGACACAAATATGCACACAACCTACCTTCATTAGTTTTGTGCTCCTGAAACTATATGAGCATAATGATTTACAGGCTGCCCAACTTTATCTCATTTGAACATGTTCTAAAGTTGTGTTTTGGTGCTGTAAAATCTGGAAGCGCGCTTACCTTGGAACACACAGCATCATCAGTGCTATAAAGAAGAGGACAGATATCTTGCAAATGGGCAATGATGCCATCCACAGCAGCATTATCTCTGATATAACAGTTTATGAGAGAAGCAATGAGTGCTCCAGTCAACTCTCTGTCTCTAATTACCAAGTCTTTGAAAGCAGTAATCTTCAGGTGTTCTTGAAGTTCCTGAATATAGACAGTATTTCATTAGTTTACCAAAGTTTCTACTTTATTCTGTTTAGAAATGTTACAATGTTACAGCAACAAAGTTAACTGTTTCCAGTAAATAAAAACATACAAAACTCCAATGATTGAAGTGCACAGCATAGAAATACATTATTTAAAATACACATTATATAGCAAAATGGAAATAATAAAGAAAGCCCTATCAATGAAGGCACTAGACCCTTGGATGCCAAAGGATAGTGAGAACTCCTCTGAGCAGACTTCCTCTGCCATCTTCACCGTGCGTCACTTTTGTTTCACATCTCTGTGAGTAAGAATGGAATCAGCAGTTCCCCTTACTTCACAGCGCACTGTCAGAATGCACACCCTATAAAATGAGTTTGTCAGTTTTTAATAATGGCCGCCATCTGTGTACTGTGATAGATGAAAAAAATGACAGATGCATAAAAAGGAGGAATTTAAAAAGTTTGAGGTCTATACTCTTCATGCTTTTTTGTATTAAACTACACTGAAGGTTATTAATTTTTTTTAATTACTAGGAATATTTGCTCACATAGAGTTGCCAGTAGTGTCTATGTAGTGTCTATGGATGATTACTAACAGCATGAAAACACTATTACAAAAACTCTAAAACTACTGCAGACAGGAAAAGGTTCTATTTGTTGAACAATTAGATAACTCCTTGTCCAGCACAAGAGAAAAGCTGCCTGTGTTAGAAATTGTGCTAACTCCCCAAAGCAGCCGTGTGAAGAGCTCCAGCTTCTGTGCATTTGTAAAGTTTTAAAATTGTTCCTTTTATCAGCAAAGAATACAACTTCCCAAATAATCTATTTTCCTATCAAGTGGTAGGACAGAATGCCTAGTATTCAAATTAATAGCATCTTCAAGGGCTGCATGCAAATTCAACATTAGCAAAGGGTACACAGCAAGCACCCATAGTTCTGTAAGCTTCCTTCTTTACAAACGAGAGGCTGAAAGAACTGGGATTGCTTAGCCTGGAGAAGAGAAGGCTCAGGGAGCAGTGTGTGGGATCTTACTAAATATTTATGGGAAGGTGTAAAGAAGGCAGAGCCAGACTTTTCTCTGTGGTGCCCAGTGACAGGACACAATGCAATGGCCAAAAGGAAGCAAAGGAAATTACATCTGAACATAAGAAAAAGCTTCTTTACTCTAAAGGTGGTTAAACACTGGAATGGATTGCCCAGAGAGGCTGTGGAGTCTCCATCTTTGGAAGTATTAAAAACCTTACTGGACACAGTCCTGGGCAATCTGCTCTAGTTAACCCTGCTTTAAGCAGAGGGGGCAGATAATCTCCAGAGGTCCCTTCCCGCCTCAGCCGTTCTGTGATACATTCTGGACCCCTACTTACACAAAACTGCAAGGGTTGAGACTCTACAACCCTATTGCTCTCCACTAAGGCAAAGAATGAATTCCTCTCGGCTGGACAACATTGGTCTATTCTTTTCAGCACATTTTGCAGAATGTGCTTAAGGTGAAAACATAGTAATTTATACGATTTGGATCATACCTTCTGAAGCTCCCCTACAACAACACTGAATTGGTGCTCACACAGCAACTTCCATAAAGCCAATGCCTGACAGGTTTTGCGAACAAGCTGCTGGATGCCTTGAAGCGAGGTCTTCTCAGTTAGCTGTGCCTCAGCTGAAATGGCAAAGAGATAATTAACTGTCCTACATGTTTCAAATTAGCATGTAAATTTTTGAGGTTTTACAATAACAATCTCTTTAAATTTCTATTTTTTTTTTTCTCTTCCATTCTTGATTAATGCTGTCTAGCTCTCTGTGGAGGAAAGTGCCATGTTAACATTTCCCAAAACAAATACCATCTGTTAACATTTATTTCAAACTATGCAACACAGGAGTACTTTCTGAAAAAGAAGTATGGCTTCGTGTGAGTGCATGGAATTTACACATCAGTCTTAATTTTTTGCTGGTTTTTTCCATAAAGTTATTATAAATGTATTTATGATGAACATAAAAGAAATAAAAATAAATACGTATTCCCTTTTTGTTTGATTACCTGCATTTGCTTTTAGAAAGAACAGTTACAATTACAACTTTGGTCAATGCTGTCTACGCTACCTTTAAAGGAACAATACCTACTCCGAAAACTAGTAACATTTAAATCTGGTAAGATGTATTCTATTCACTGAAAGAGTAATATGGACATACTTATTACATGGGTGGAACATAATCGCAACAATTTATGTCTTTACTTTTGAGTGCTTACAGTTCAGAAATGAAGCAGCAATAACTATATTGTGTCATTTAGCAATCCAAAAGGGCTTATGGGCTTTGGAATGCATAAAAATGAAAAAATAGAATTATTAAATGTGTACCGAATTCTACAAAATGACTTTTAAAAAAAAATTTACATTCACACTATTGAAAGTGAGCAGTACGAAAGAGAAATTAAAATCCAGGATTATACCCACATGGACCACAAGCATCTTCAATTCTGTATACACATCAGCAACACTTCCTAACTTGCCTGCAAGTGCTGAGCAAAAGCTACACCAAAGGAGGACATGAGTTCAAATGGGATGTGTGACAGGCCTCTTATAAGTGGGATGTGTGACAGGCCTCTTATTTCTAAACAAAGTTTTGTAGACATTTCAGTGACTGTAACTTTGGTAACTTGCATTACAGTATTTCTTTTTAATAGGACAACATAGTCACTTGTCTCACAAACGAATTGCTTAACAATTGCTATCCTGAAAATATAAATGGGTATGCAGCTACTAAGTATTGTAATGAGGAGATGAAACAATCTCATGAAATATGGAGAACACTAGGAAGGGGAAAAAAAAAAAAAGGAGACAGGTAAGTGTGCAAAGAAGCCTCTAGTTTTATATTTCAAGATTGTCTGAATGGGTAAAATAGGATAAAGAGGACACATATCTACACAGAATTGAAATTTAATTCTTTGCATGAGGGAGAGAAGTTTAAAAGTGCTTTAAAGTTCAAGAACTTTTATTTTAGCGTAATAAATTGAGAGGTACAACTTGTGTTTTGCAGTGGCTCAAGACCACTAGATATTCTCCTTTGTGGACTGCTTTAATTAGTTACAATATTAAAGCTTTCAATATCAAACTGAAAGGTAACATCCGCAGCATGTGACACACGAAGTCTCTTGCCACAGTCAGCCTAAAGGCTGGAATGTTTCTCTATCTAGATTTGAGTTGTCATTCTGGGTATATACTTCATGTGTAGTACAGTCGTATGTAAATGATTTTCTCACATCAATGTCACTGCAGAAGCACTGCTTCTGATGGAACAATATGATATGGTATAGAAGCAAAAGCAAGGTGCTAGCAAAGTTAGTTTCCAAACTACAGTGCTTTTTCTGAAGAACTTATTACCAAGTATGGCATAATGATTAATGTCAAATTTGTATGGAAAAAGGCATTTTTATTCAGAGGTTTTAACAAACAAGATATAACATCCAAAAGCACCATTCCCTGATACTTCCTGTTCAAAAGTAATTACATACCATGATATTTCCTCTGGAGCTCTTGCTGGACTTGCTGAGAACTTCCACCATCAGGCCGCATGAAACCCAGGAGCCTCTGTTGCAGATTGGCTGGTGTGCTGAAACTGCAATTCCAAAATAAAAAGAAATGCTAATATGATTACAAATACTGAATCTTTTAAAGATGAAATCTAACAACTCATTTTTAGCACCTGGATAGTTGAAGCTGGAGACCATACATACACTTCAACTCAACAGAGATACACATAGTACAGTTTTTCAAGTGCTGGACATTAAATATCACTAGTAAGTTTAACACAATGAATAATACCTTGGGTTTCCAAGGGCTCCTACTGTAGCAAACTGTGAATTTCTATCCAGAAATTCTTGTAAACCTTTTAGTTCTTGTAGTACACATTCCAGCACATGGGATGGAACACTGCTTTCTACCTGCAAAAGAAAGGAAGACTTCTTTATAGAAAGCTTAGTTTCCAAACTTTTTTCCAAAAATTTACAATTTTAAGCTAAAGCCATGAAAAAGACAAACGCAAAGAGGGTAGAACAAATAAATAGCATAATAGTAATGCTATTGCTAGAACACAACATTATTATACCACAGTCATTGAGGAGGGGGCATACATGTGAAGAGGCAGTAGTCCTCTGAAGATACACAGTATTCAAGACGCTACTTTGCCCCTCTGATAACCAAATCAGCTGTGTTTTACTATTTCCAACTCTGAACTAAAACAAAGATTAACATTGCTAAGACAGAGTATAACTGCAAAGGTCTTCCAGAGTCTCCCAGGTACCTTATAACTCGAGGAAGAAAGCTCATGTAGCAGTTAATTTGCATTGCTGAAATTACTCAGTTCAGGGTTGTATTAACATCCACAGTCAGAAAAGATTTTGTTATTTTGATCACGGACAAAAAGTGAAACACCAAGATGTTAGTTAGAAGCATGCTGGAAATTTTTTTATGTCCTTGCATAACTGCAACGTTTATCCTAACAGACTAAAGCATTTTATTTTTAGGCTTTGTCTGGAGGGGGTATGCAGAAATGAAAGAAGTGCAATCACTAAACACAGAAAAAACTGGCCATTGCCATTTAACAACAGAGATCAAATTACAGTTAGGTTTCTTAAGAAGTAACATTCAAAATAGTAGCTCAAAAAGATTTAAAACCTATAATTACTCCTCAGTTAAGAGTGCATCACTTAAGAAAACATTCAAATGACAAAGATGGTTTTTTTCCTTATCAGTTTATAATTGGGAACAGAAGTATAACAGGGCTTAAGATATATACTATAAGAAACTTTTAAAAATACAAAATAATCTTCTACATACTGCAACAACTTCTCGATTGCCACTTTTGAAAACTCTCTCCACAACTATACTGCCATCCCAAATATTTCTGCAACACAAAAGAATACTGCATTAAAAGCCAAGTAATATAAGCAAGTATTTTTGCAAGTCTTCTATGTATAATTTTTTAACAAAGAAATGGTAATGCTTTTTACTTCAAGGTCCAAAACAAGGATTTAATTTGGATGAAAATTTTACATTATACATTATACATTTCTGAATGGTACAGATATAGATAATTAACAAAATTTCAAATTTTAAAACTTTAATCAAATGAAGTTTGATGCTCTCAAATACTTCAAATATAGGCCAATATTATTCTCTGGAAATACAGGGCAGGCAAACAAGTGTCACAATAAAAACTTATTTCCCAGCCAGCATGCAGAGAGATGACCAACATATGAAGAGCTCTATTCTTGCTTAGAGTCTTTAATAACACAGGACTCAACATCCATGTAACAGAATCCTCTTTAGTCTTGCTTCATTGCTCTGATTTGAGCATTCTTTTTAAAGCTCCTTAACAGAAAAGACTTCAAGCCAGGACTTTGATCCTGTAAGTCCTTCTGCATTTCTGTTTCATCCTTTAGTACGAGTTTGAAACATACAGCTCATAGGTTTGAAAAAATAAAACCGCATTTTTCAGAGTTGTGCATATACACTTGATTGCAGGATCAATGTCCAAGCAACTTTCTTGTGCTAGCCATTCACTGAATGTATGTCTTGGTTTAACCCCAGCTGGCAACTAAGCACCACACAGCTGCTCGCTCATTCCCCTGCAGTGGGATGGGGGAGAGACTCGGATGGGTAAAAGTGAGAAAACTCGTGGGTTGAGATAAAGACAGTTTAATAGGCAAAGCAAAACAAGGCATTCATTCACTCCTTCCCATCGGCAGGCAGGTGTTCAGCCATCCCCAGGAAAGCAGGGCTCCATCACACTAACGGTTACTCGGGACGACAAACGCCATCACTCCGAATGTCGCCCCCTTCTTTTTTTCTTCCCCCAGCCTTATATGCTGAGCATGACGTCATACGGTACGGAATATCCCTTTGGTCAGTTGGGGTCAGCTGTTCTGGCTGTGTCCCCTCCCAACTTCTTGTGCACCCCCAGCCTACTCACTAGTGGGGTGGGGTGAGGAGCAGAAAAGGCCTTGACTGTGTGTAAGCACTGCTCAGCAGTAACGAAAACATCCCTGTGTTATCAACACTGTTTTCAGCACTAATCCAAAACATAGCCCCATACTAGCTTCTGTGAAGAAAGTTAACTCTATCCCAGCCAAAACCAGCACAATGTATTATTATTAATAGAGCTGTCAAGAGGACATATTATATCAACAGGTACTTCATAAACACAACATAAAAATGCACTTTACTAATTTCAAATTTAAATGCTATTATGATAGAATTCACCACCTACAAGCATTAGGGATTTTTTAAACAAATTGAGTGACAGAATCTCTTTTTACACAAACACCTCACCCTATAATCCGAGCAAAGTATATGCAGATGCCATTGTGCCTTCCAGAAAATACTATCTCGGGACCCATCATTCCACTAATGGATGTACCAGGGTGAGACATGGAATTCCCAGGAGGAAACATGGGAGTTGACATACTAGGAGGTTGTAGACCTAGGTTAAAAGTAGGTAAATATTACTCATTTGAATGCAAATAAAAAAGCCTAGTGGAAAAAGAATTTCTCCAGCAAAGGAAAAGAAGGCATTACCTTGTCCAGGTGGTGTCAAAAAACTAAGATTAGGATATGGACCATCAATAGTCAAGGGGGAACCTAAAAGGGAAAAGAAATAAAGGTAAGTTTGTTAAAAACAAACAAACAAAACCCAAATCAAGATAAAACCCATAAAATCCCTGTGCAAAAGCAGCAAAGTTGTTAAATCAAGTACTTTAAAGTTAGAACTATTCCAACAGCTTTTATTTATAGTTAAATACCAAATTGCACTCATTTCTTATCAACCCAACACTCCACAAGTGAATCAAATGGATATGCTTCTTTCAAGAGCAGTTATTAAGCATTTTTTTCCCAGCATTCATGTGTTATTTGTTGCACACCATCTGTTCCCTGCATTGAATATAATACTGTCCACATACTTTTTCTTGTTCCTTACTTTCTGACTGCTCCCATTTTTGATATGGGCACCTATTTTCAAAGCACTCACTTTCAGTCATTTAAATCTTTTCAAAAAACATCAATTTTACCTTCAAAGCACTCAAATAAAAGAAACTGGTATTATTATTCTTCATTTTTACATAGGGCAGTTGGGCAAACACTACAGCAACACTGTTAACTTGGAACATTCACTTTGAGACTGTCCATGGCCTCAGATTCAGCTGTGAATATTCAACCCTTCTCCAAATTAAGTCTGAATACCCAAAGCATGAGGAACATGTGTGGTCATCTACAAAAACGTCCATGTACCATCAGCATGTAGGGTGATATACCACAGAAAGGGCAAGAAAACTGATACTCTGAAAATTTGGCTTTTAGCAGAGAATCAGTCCTTCTTGCCTTATTCACTACAATTCCCTCAACTCGGCAACACACAACAGTGCAAATGGTTACAAAGTCCTTCACTAAACAGTGCCAATACATTCTCAGAGCACATTCTCCTGTATGCCAAGCAAAGCACACACTTGCAGAAAAGCAGCATGTGAATGCATGACTAGACTTTCAACAGTGAGAAAAAGAGGGAACTAAGTCAAAGGTGCCTGGCCTTCTAATGCTAACATTATTGTAATGTAGTTTCACATGCAAAATTTCAAGGTGTTTAACAAATTTCTGTCAGCACTGTCTGACCCACCACATGGGACATCCACAATATCAGAATCTTAATTTCACATGACAGTTCTCTACCCTTTGAGCAAACCGAGTAAGTAGTGGCAGAAGAATGGTGCCATCTCCCACCTGGACCTGTCACTGAAGCAAAATGGAAACACGTGCCTTGATACGAGGTTTCAAAGAGGCATATATGACAGCAAATGATAAAAATATCCAAACATTTAGACTTTGGAAAAATACATTTACTTCTAAAAGGAGTCACCTTATTGATTACAGAGCTTCCTGTCATTTCGCCCACACCTTACTTTCATTCTCAGTCTGCTGCTAGCACCTGTTCTCCCCATAGCTGCTGTCCTCCCTAACTGAGATTTAATTTTACACTCTTATGCCTTGCCTCAGCTGCTGCCCACATTGCTATTGTTCCACACCATCTTGGAAAGTGATGCCATTGATGCATTAAAAATAGCCACTCTTCTTAGTGTTTTAATACCAGTTGAGAATGCTGAAAAGGAGGATCAACTGTTTTTCCAGAACTTCATCCCAGTTCAGCACATCTTTCTCCAATACTTATGAATTTGGATATATGTCAAAAACAGTACTGAAATGGAATTTCTTTGCATTCCAGGCAATCAAGTTTTTTCCCAAGTCTGACATGTAAAATTGAATGCCACATGTCAGATAAGAATCTTGGAAATTAACAAGTTCCTGATAAAAAAATAATGAATTTAATTCAGTAATTCAATCAGAGTTCCAAATTCATCATTTTTAAAAACCCTTAAGATCTGGAATTGAGTAACACATGTTAAGGGACAACTTCCTGAAGCACGTGAAATTTAAGTGAATCTGAGTGATACAGAAAGGCCTCCACTCCAACAAGCATCAAGTTCTGAGGAGGAGGAATAGGCACTATTCTCATTTGTAAGTGGCACTGACGACCTAAGCAGAAACCAAACACTGAAGCTAGAGCTTTAACAGGGAGAAATCACTCCAAACAACCAACCCATTTCTTGATCAAAAATTTTCTTCTCATAAACAATATCTGCAGAGGTATGACAACGAAGATACTCTGCTATAGCCACACAACAACCAGCTAGTCTTTGTAAAGTTTGAACTATCATATTGATAGATTGTTCTCTGGCTGCTGAATTGCCTCTGGCAGCAACAAACGTATACCTTCTTCACGTAATCTTAACAGATTATATGCAAATCCAGACATAGTTTGAGATCACATCACCCTCTCACTAAATCCAAAAATCACTCAAGAGAAACGGAAAAAAACTCTGTAATTAATTAGCCAGTGAATGGAAAATCAAGGACTATTTCAGACAAAAAGAAGACAGGTACTTGTGAGAAGACAAAATTCAACAAATTTAAGGAGAAGAAAAAAAACCTGTCCAAAACCATTAAATACTTGCTATGCAGGAATAGGAGAACCCAAAATAGGTCCAACATTGCTTGGAGGAGGCAGAGCTGACGGAAATCTCATTTGTGCTTCTCCACCATACCTAAAGTTTACATGCAAAGACAAAAATTCCTCACACTTCATACACAGTCCATTTCATTTTCACGTCTTTGAGAATTAACAGCAATTTTGGGGTTCTTTTAAAATGGGGAATAAAAAAACCAGCATAACTTTTCAGAAATATTTGTGACTGTATGATACTTTTGGGAGAGAAAAAGAAAACTAACTGAATGCATGTTATATGAAAAACATTAACATATGTAATTGTAAAGATAAGTTAGATGAACAACTACATATTTTTTTGTGGATGATTTAAGTTCTGTGGTGATATGATCAGACTTTAAAGAGAAATTCACCAATTCTCAAAATCAACTTTATGCTTTAGTATCTTTTTAAGGTTTGCCTCTGCAGGAAAGTGGAAAGAAGGACACAGTTGAGATGACCCATGCTTATCTTTCTATTGTCCACAAATAATTTCTATCCATCTCTCTCCTATATTGCTACATGAGCACTTCATTACTTCTTCCCTTGCTTACACCCATCTCTCCAGAGTTATCATCGCCATTTTCTCTCAGATCTTGTAATGTAATTGTGTTTAACAAAGAGCAACTATTCACAGCCTGCTGAGAATAGCTGACTTGATCTAACACTTGCACAAGTTTTCGAAAAGAACAACCAAGCTTTTGGGAACATAACACTCGAACTCTAGCACAAACGTACAGTCAAAACTGCACATTTTATCATCACTCTCAACAGCTGTATCTTACCAAACCCCTTTTTTCCTCCAGGCTACATGTCATGTGAGGACAGCCAAGAAACTCACAATATACTAACTTGTTTAAGGCAACTAATTAAAATATACAAATCTGCACCATACCAAGGATATGCAATACTTAAAATACATAGATGACAAATTAATCCTCCAGAGTGGAAGCCCATATTTCCTCACTCAATTTGTAGTGGAAAAAAACAACCAAAAAAAAAGAAATCAACATCTATGACCAAGAGCCATCAGGCCCTGAACAGGTTTAAGTCCATTTGAATACAAATTTTCTTGGTGCAATGGTGAACAGCGTAAATAACTGAAATATGTTAAGAAAAAAAACTGAAAACAAAACAAAAAAACCCAAACCCCAAAACCCCACAAAAATTAAAAAATTTGTCTGTTCTTTTTGCAGCTGTCTGAGTTGGTCTCATTAAAGATATTACTACACACTGCACTTCAATAAACTGGGCTACTGTGAAGTATAGGTAACTGCATTTCAAGCAGATTAAATTACATTTTCAATAGCCTCCTCTACAGGTGGAATGCAAGGGGAACTAACCAGAAATCACCACTAAGGAAGCTTCCTTTGTTGATGAGCCCTAAATTAGTGCAAAAGCATATTCCACCAGGTTTAATGGTCTATGCTCATTTTAAAACAATGCTTGGTCATGCAGCAGGTTAAAGAGCCTGTACAATTATTTAGTGGCTGTAGCGATCCTGAGCATAATATTCAGAACAAGCTACAGAATTGAAACTTACCTGAAAAATGCTCGAGTAGCCCAGGCAGATACTTCTCTATCACATGCAGCATTAGAACAGGCCAAGATAAGGCAAGTGGCACAGGCCTGATCCTCCTGGGGCATATTATACTATTAATGTGGCAGCTTATATCAAGTTAGTAAGAAATGTATAGAAGTTATATTGCGCAATAACTAAACAGTAAATACTTTTTGGATCATTTTATTTAGAACACAGGGAAATCAGCTCTTCCCAATTATAGACAAGAAGTGAACCATAGTGAGGCATCCCACTGTAGCAGCTAAGTTTTTGTTACACAGTTTTTGCAAACTCAGTACAATTACTGGTAGGAAACAATCTCCATGTCTGTCACCTAATTATGACTAAGATTCATGCAATTTTTACAGAAATGTAAATTAAGATTGTGTTTTAAGAAAAAAATCTATACAAATAATGGTTTGCATATTCTAATGACATGTTAAAATATCACTTAATATGTCGTATCAAAGCAGAAGAGAATAGATTACAGTGAACATTCACTACAGATACTAGTACTAGTATCAATACCAGTCAAATTAAAAATGTAATCCACGACGGCTTCCTTCCTGCTTGTTTGTTATTTACCTTAAACAAAAAAATAGACCAATTATACACATTTCTACTGGCCTTCAAAATGTAAAAACCTCTTGCAGTGGTAGGAATTTAACTTTTTTAGAAAATCTTCCTCCCCTCCTCTTAGATGAACTCATTTCCTAAACTAAGAACTGCATTATGCTTCTGTGTACAAGATATATAGGTATTTCAGGGAAAGTGAACTACATTTCCATTTTTAGATATCATAAAATGAGAAGTTATTTCTCATTATACAATTTTATGTAGACAACAGAGGAGGAAAAGCTAATACTTTAATCTATAAATGAAAGGGTAACTAGAAGTTTAGAGCAACAACAAAAAGATGCTAAAGAAAGTGATTAGATTTACATAAATACTGTAAATCTTCCTTTTTTTATAACAGGTTAAAAGATCTTACCTGATGCAACTTGAAAAATCTTTCAATCTCTTCTCCATCTCCACCTATATTGCTAACAAGCAGATGCCGCAGCTGATCGACAGGTCTGAGTTTATGAAACATAAAGCTCCCCTGAAAGTAACCCAAAATAAGTTAGAATAAAGTTGTCTTTACTCTGGCCATTCCAACACCCCCTCCCCACAATGCTTATCTTTAGCATTCTGAATTTTGCTTTGTTGCGCTATTGGATCGAACTATAAAGTGAATGGTGCCTAAAGCCCAGTTCCCGTTCACATGCAGAAAATTCTCTAGTGAGTCTAGGAAAGGCAGCAAAAATACTGCAATGGCTATAAACTCTCCATAAACTGAGTTAATTTTGCTGTTCTTAGCCTAACATGAAGCATACAATACAAACATACAGCAAGTATATACAGAAAAGAAAGGCTTTACGTATCTTGCAAATCCTCAAAACTGCCTGGAAAAAAAATGCTTGAAGAATTCAGGATCAAGGGCATGGTAAGACTCTACACTCCATCATCTTGCCTGCATCCATACTAACTACTGGAGAGGTCCGATTAGTGCCTTTAACAAAACAGCTGCCATTAAACAAATGCAGGTTGAGTCTAGAGGTTGCAAGACATTAATGATTAAACTTCTTTTTTTAAATTGCCTATTGGTTAAGATATTAAGTGCCCTAAAATATTGCTAAATGAAATCAGAAAAGAGAAGTAGGAAAGTTAATTTCTTTTTCCTTTTTGTGGGTTTTGTTTTTTAAAACCCTTTAAAAAAACCCTTTTGGGACTTCTTCTATGACAAAGAAGAAGTTATTTATTCAAATTTTAATTGCCAACAATATTTACTCAAACTATATTTTCTGGGCAGCCAGTGTCTTGTTTCAATTTCATATAATCATGAGTATAACCAAGGTTAAAAGAACTTCTCCTATGATCTTTATCTACAAGGGTCTCTGGAGACCAGCAAAAACAATTAATACACTGTACAAGAGAATCTGACCCAATAGCTTTGGGTAAATTTAAAATAGGTACAGATGGTTTCAGCAATCTTCTTCCTTACTCCTTTTTATGTTCAGAATATAATCCTTAAAACATATCCAACATGAGTAAACATTTACAGGTTTAGATCAGTCTTCCAACTTTATACTTACTCTTCTGATTTCCTGTATCAAGAAAAGTAATACTCACCTGGGCTGAAAGTAGAACAAACTTCTTAGGTGGCAGCATGTGTTGCTGCACAACAACAGGTGAATCAGTTATTGGAATAATGTCTTTATTTAGTGGTGTTACAATCTTCTGAACTTTAAATTCATCGATAGCAGAAAGAGCCCAGGAATGTCCATCAACACGGGTGGTCATCTGAACAACAGATAGATATTATCCAAAGTTTGGTAGCAGACATGGATTTTGTACGTCCATGGTGATATTTTAGTATTTACCATTTAAAATTACACAGAATAGAATCTACTCGTGAAACAAGAAAACCCAAAGGAAACAAGCAAGTTCTTGTATTGTCTAACAGAAGGTTACCACCAAATTTACAGCTATATATATACTGCTGCTTTTGGGAGACAGGGAATAATACATTGCTTCTTTTGGGGTATAGGGATAGTGTTTTGTATTTAAATGTAAAAGAACTTGCAAAGTGGGATCCTTTAATGCTGCTACAATATAAATAGCAACAAGCTGCTAACCATATCAGAACTAAGTACCAAAGATATGATGAATTTAAATTATTTCTTAAAGAATCAAAAAATGCTGCAACTGAATCATAAAGGTTTACAAGAGTTTCACAGTTCGTAGCAGTACTTCAAATATACCTCAAGAAGAGACATATGGTAGTGAAGACATTCCAGAAAACTATGTATGCTAACAAGGAAGAACTGCTGCTCAATAACAGGCTGCAGTTTTGTTTGGGAAACCTAGCCGTCTGTTACTGTCAAATGCCTTGGAAAAAAGAGAGAGGTCAGCACTTGGGATATTTATGTGTAAGTTTTTGCAGGGAAGGGATCTGGAGTAATTATAAAGATTATAATTAATTAATTCTGCCTTTGTAAGTTATTAAAACAGCAGACAAATCAAAAGCTGACTTCGAAACTTTTAACTTATACAGTCTCTCTATTCATTCCAACTCTGCCAGTGCTCCTCCAATAATACTATTTTTGACATGTCACTCCTCTACTTCAGAGGACTTCAGACTTCCTTTAAAGCTGGAATATATAAAATGTTCTCCCTGAACTGACGCAACTAACGCCCTCCAAAACCCTCTTACAAACCCACTTATGTAACAATTAGGAAAAAGAAAATCAGAAAAAAGGTGGTGAAATAATGAAGAGATTAATCATGTCTGAAATTTAATGAAGACACTGCATATCAGTTTAAATAAACAAACTCAAAATCTCTAGCACCTACATTTTAAACAATCTTAGCCAAATTTTATCCTCATCAACAACCACCACTATGGACCGTGGACCATGTCTTCCCGTGCTTGTCCACAACATGCAACATGCTATAGACAACAATATTTTCAAATATGTTAATCAGAATTCAAGTCTTAGAAGTCAAGGCAATTGCTTTTGATACAGAGCTTGCATCAAGCTAAAAAGTATGGCTGAACTAGGAATCCCTACTAAGAGATCAGTTCCCATTCACCAACAAAACTGCCTACTAATTTTTCTTCTTTGAAGCATATTGATAAGTAGCTTTGTAAGCGTTTCCAAACTCCTCATGGAAGTTTTCTGTGAACTACCCATTTCTTGCAAATAGTATTATTCAAGTATCTGTTATCATAGAGGAAAAAATAATATCTAGATTCCATCAAAATTGTATAAAAGTTTGCTTTAGTACCTGTGTTTCCATCATTGGCTTTTGAAAAGGGAAAGAATCATGATTGATACACCACAGGATGTCATTATCCTCATTTTCTGAAGCTGCCATCAGCAGGACCCCTAGCAAGAACAGCGATATTAAGTTTGTATTAGAAGCAATAATCATGCATTAGACGCAAATTCATTAATTCGTTCCTGATTTAGTAAAAATCAATCTTTAAGTCCTAATCATACAATTTGAACAGCAAATAGTATCTCCTGAGTTTCTATGTCATAGGGTTCTTCAGAAGGTCACTTTTAACACCATTTGCCATCTACTCTAAAAGGTACAAACAAAAAATGAGCCTAAAATAGGTAGAACATGCCTCAAAAATGACATGTTTAAACTGATCATGGATGAAAAAACATCCAGAAATGACTTCAAGGATAAAAATCAGTATGTATCACTAAAAGGGTCAGCAACAGAGATATTTCCCCCCCCTCACCCCCGCCAATTTCTGCAGCACTTTTAAAAATTCAGCCTACAATCAGAAGTGACATAAAGCTGAACCATCTGGCAGTTTTTTGGTATCTTACATGGTATCAGTAGCTAAATGAGTTAAAAAATAAACAACAGTCAGCACACACTAAAGTCGGCATAAGAGGCACTAAATAGGTAAGAAGCCTATTCTATCTCCTGCTTTCAAGAACTAATCACACATGGCTAGAGACACATAGGCGAATTTGAACACATTAAATCTATTTTATGGGGAGATTAGAAGAAAGAAAAGGTTGATCAACACATGAACAGAGTTCTCTGCTCAGACACTGCACCCTGCAGAAGGAACTAAATTCTGAAAAATAATGACAACCTTCCACTTCCGAAAACTCTCGCATTAACACACAGAAGCCATGCTTAGTTCTCAGTTATTCCCACTGCTTCAAACTCCCCAATGGTAAAACAGCATGATAATGACCATAACTAAAAAAAAAAAAAAAAAAATTCAATCTCATCTGAGCTGTGTTCCACTGCTTACCTTTGCTATAAAGAGCTCTGTGAACCTTTGCAGGCTTCTCCACATTAGAAGAAGCTGAAAATCCAGGCGGCAAACGGACATGAACCAAGGTTAACATGGAGGGACGAGCTGTTGGATGCTTAAATTGTGAAGTACTAAAATACAGTCGGACACCTGAACAAAACATAAAAAAAGGTCACAATTTCGCTAAACTGTGCAGATGCCACTTATCAGTTTAAAATGGGGAAATTAGCATTGCTTTCTTACCTGCATGTGTGATTGCTAGTAGTTGACAGTCTATGGATTCAGAATTTTCAATTACTGCTATTTGAACAATAGGCTTAAATACAGAACGATCTATTGTTCTAAAAAACAAAACAAAAAACCCCCATACACTCTCAATCCAAAGAAATAAGCAAACAACATTCTTCAGAAATATAGCATGAAACTATTGGCCTTAAAGGAAGCCTCTTACATTACAATTGTCATAAATATATACCTCGCAATGCTCCCAGCAGCAGAAACTATAGCATTTTGTGAAAGAGAAGTAATCCTGGTCATTCCTTGACCATCTTGTCCCAAATCGTAAACCTGCAATTCAATTATACAGCTTAGCGATTTATGGTTGAATTAATTAATACAGCCTCACCTATCAAGCAGCAACTCAAACTCTATTTTCATCCTCATGTTTCCATATAATTGAGGGGAAGATCAAAAGGCTACTCTTTCCTCAGAAGAAAGTATTTTAGGTCTTCAGCACACACTTTGTTACAAAAAGATAAACTGGAATAATATCCTGACATACCTACACAGAATTCCCAGATACTGAGGAAAACTTAAAAAGTTATATAAACATTAGGAATATAGCCAACAGTCATTAGAAGAAGTCACATACTTGCAGCACTCCTTTTTCTGAGCGGGTGTGTAAGATATTTCGAGAGTTGTCAATGGCGATTTGAACTACAGGATCTGGCAAGAGAGGGGGAAAGGGAGAACCAGCAAATCAACACTGGATTAGGTGAAAACAAGTTTAAGGCAGAATATCTATAAAATAATTAATTGTAAGTTAACAAAAACCGCAGGAGTCCCACACAGGACTCCTACTGGAAGTGATTTAAAACAGCAATCAATTTCACACGATTATTAGTAAACTAAAAAAAGAGCAAGAAATTGTATAAGTTCAAATTAATTTTTCACTAAATAGTGAAACAGGGTGAAATCATTTACTTAAACATTTTAGTGTTTGCTGTGATCCCGCTAAGCACGTATTAATTTTGTACTACGGAAGACCAACCTTAGTCATAAGTGTCAAATTTTCCAGGCTTTGGTATCTATATCCTGAACTCGACACACAAACAAGTGACCTGATTTTTATAATCATCAGCCACTACATGTTTAATTGACAATAACTAAATGCTCTGAATGAGGAAACTATTCAGTCTGACTTCTTGGTAGTATTATTTAAAAGGCTACATTAAATTATGGGGTAAGTCTTTAACATCAGTACTTACCATCCTCTGAGAATGTGAACTGTAGCAATGAAGGAATAAGGAAAGACAGTGCGCTCTTTGAGTGATTAATTTTTCTACAGCGCTGGCTAAACCAGCCTGCTTCAGCCTACAATTTAAAACAAATACAGCGTTAGAAAAAAAAAAACAAACAAAAACCAGAAACTAGTACTTATATCAAAAAAGTCGTTAACAGGATAAGTATGAAAACAAGTAAAAATCTAACCACACACCGCTGATTTAATTAAAAAAGTATGTACTATTCAATTGAAAGAAACAGATGATCATTAAAAGGAAAATTTTAAATAAAAAAGGGTACAGGATATCAGAATTTTAATTTTATTTTTGAAGCTGACCAAAGCTGCATTGCTATTCCTCATACAATTACTACTTCTTAGTGGAGCTACACTAAGACATCAGAGCTGTTGTGCAACCAACCCATGCAACATAATTATGGAAGAAAAAAGAATGGCAAACCTGACATGTTTTAGAACTCTTAGTGCCTAGATCCCACAATCATGAAACAATGAAAAATGCCTGCATGTAAAACCTATAGTCACCTGGTATGCTACTTCATATAAGCAGCCATCTTTTCCAGCCAAAAAGATACGCCCGTTATCAGTGGATGTTATTGCCAGAATGTAAGTATTGTCAGTAGGCAGCGAATAGAGAGGGTCTGGTAGCAGCTGCATTCCGCCAGACATACTGTCATTGAGCGATCCAGTACCTTAAATAAACGTGTAAATCCTCTTTAGTTTTTAAGTTGTTCTAATAAATATTACAGGTCTGTGATAAGAAGCATTTTGGAAAACAGGAAAAATTACAGCAAATTTCATAGTTACTAAACACATTCTGGACTAGCTATTCTCCACAGCGAACTGCAGAGTAACAAATCTTCTGTTTTTTAAAAAAAGTAAAGTAAATTCTCTGTATAAGTTTCCAAGTAAGGAAATGCAATGTTTTCCATTTCTATGCATTGTCATCTCCTCTAAACCATGACAAGTCTAAAACACAGATTTCTACTTCTTTTTCTCTTTCACATCAAGATAGTATAAAAAGAGAACAAAAGATTGTAATCCTCTCACTTTCTCCAAACAATTCTGTATTTTCTCTATTAATATACATGGCATAAAAAAAATGGTATCAGGTTCTCAATTTCTGTGGCTGGAATACAAATGCCAATGAGGTTAATGAACCGTATTCACCAGTTCCAAGATTCATGCCCATCTCTTCTCTCCCTCTCTAACATGCTGTCTAATTAAAAGGAGTACCTGTTTCAAAAACTCTTTTCATGTTAAACAGGTGAATAATACCACTTAATGCTCCTGTGGGAGTCCAGGATCCAGCAAGTGCACACCCCATAAAAATTATTTCCCCCTGTCTGTAACATGATTTAAAAATTAGCAAGGCGCTTAGCACATGGTCTTGTTTTTCCTTTTTTTTTTTCTTCTTCCAATGGCTACTCATAAAACAGCCATGTACACTTGTTAATGCACAACTGAGAATGAGGGGGGAAGAAATAATTACCTGCTTGTATATTAGCACAACTGAGCCCTAAAATCACAATATCCACGGGGGTAGCCAAAACAAGTAAGTGTCGTACATGAGGCTGGAAGATACCTAAAGATGAGAAAATAAAATTTTAGTTTGCAGCCAACCTCTCAGATCACAATGATGTATCCAATGTATCCATTGGAAAGACACATTACTGATTAGAGGGAATAGCCATATTTAAGACCTAACGATCTGTGAAAGTCTAGAATTAGAAAGGAGTATCAGTCAGCAGTTCAGCTTCCAGTTCATGAAATACAGGATCTTTAAAATGACATTTTTCTTATAAACATGCTTCCTTTAAATCCAATCCTATTGACAATTCAACATTGACTTCAATGTTATCTAAGCAGTAGCTACTAAAAGAACTGGGAGGGCTAGAAACCAGGATCTCACAGAAGCTATCACTTGAACATGTAAATTTATAAACAGTACAAATGCTAGAGTACAATGTGGCAAAAAAATGCAAGCTTATCAGTGTAAATGATTGTTAAACTATACAAGTATTTTTGGCTTGTAATTAATTTCATAATGTTTCTAAAAGCAAAACAAACCCACGCATCCTCTGTAGACATACGTACACACACAAACCCCACAGATTTTCACATATGCATATATAAAAAAAACATATATAGAAGGTTCAGTAACTGCCTAATTCTAGTCACTGTCATGTATTTCTTACCTCCCTTTGGCTTTACAAGACCCACTGCAAGAATAGTTTCACTAAGACCATCAAAATAAGCCAGATCTCCCCTGTCAACAAATAAGAAAAAAAACCACCCCTGCATAAAACTTGTCATGTTGTATCACATAATAACCAAGTAAATAAAATCAGACTCTGTATATTTAAAAATTATTAATACTTATTGTAACACTCTGAAGCCAACTACATCTTTTGCTTTGGGTGAAAGCAGGTCCAGCACAATGGAATGACAGAGAAGTTTCACAGCAAAACTATATAGGCAATCATTTGAGCTGCCTGGAGTCCCTATAGCTGAGTTTCAAACCTGAAACCCAAGTGCAGTATTCTATATTTTTGGATTTTATTAATTCATACAGTCTACTCTGAATTACATAATGCAGCATCTGCAATGCTGATTAACATCAGAGGGAGGAACTTACATGATTTTTTTTGTTCCCCATGAAAATTACCTAAAGCAAGAATTCCCACTTCCTCCCCAGCACCTTATGCTTAACACCATGCAGTGCTGTTTCATTTGGGGAATGTATTTAATACACTGTGACACAACGTAAATGTATGGATATGAGCTATGTGAGCCACTATCTGAGCTTTAATCTTCTTAGGAAAGGCAACAATATATATAAAGCAATTCTTACTAAAAGAATTCTTACTATATAGGCAAATAAAGAAGCAAACTTGCAAATTATAAACATATCACTGCCATTTGAAAATATAATGAAATTATTTGCAGTTTTATGCTAGGCAGGAGAGCTTCAATCACAATACTTCAAAGTACTGTAATACAAAATGCTGTATTACCTACCCTTGTGGGAATGACTGGCCACTTACATGCATCAGAGTACTTACCAACTCTACTTAGAAAAGTTAGGCAATTAGTATAATTTTTTTCTACTTTTTTGGCATAAGCAAAGCCTTAGCATAAATACAGCAATAACTTTAGGATATTAGCTATGTCTAATCCTAAGCAAATACATTTTCATTTCTTTCATCTCTAGATGATTTGGCAGCAATATTACGAACTCTTAAAAATCCTTAACACTTATTATTCAAAAGTTTTAGTAAAACCTGAAAGGAATCAAGGTAAGTTAAACTGAATAGCACACCTCTGTGCTACCAGTAAACAATCTCCCACTTCTGCAATAGCTTAATTCCCGTAAAATACCAATAAAATATCATCAGGAACGTGTTCTCTACATACCCATCTTCATAGTTCCACATAAAAATGTCACTGTCGATGGTGAGCCAAGCTCTGCTGATTTCTGGAAATACTCCCATCATACAATTGCACTGCATATCTGAGGCACTGCTGATGTAAGGACTAAATGCATTTTGGCTAGCAAAGGCAAAATCCCCTTTGGGGCATTTAAAAAAAATTAATATTACTTTATATACAGTAGTACACAAACTATGTACCATAAACATTCAAAGTTCTTCATACAGAAACTAATTCCACCAGCAACTCTACACAAATGGACCTTGTTACTTGGAGCCTTATGAAGGGAACGTAAACAATATCGAAGTTCATTACCGGGAGTCTGACAGAAAGATCGGGGAAGAAGATTATGGAAGAAAAAAGTTCGTTTCTACTATGACTTACACAACCTAACACGTTATTTTTCATAAGGATACGTCCAAACTGTTCCACTAGCTCTGGGGGAAGTGGGACTCTGCGGACGGAGCTGATCTCTGGAAGATTAGGTATTGACAGCAAACCTGGTCCTTGCAAAGGATAATCCATATCTGACATACCAGAAACAGTAGGGCTACCTGCAATTAAGAAAAACAAAAAAGATTAGACTTCTTATAAAGAATGAGAAATTTACAAAAAAAGGTTTATATTCTCTTTCTCTATCTTTACCTTGTTTCCTAATCTTTTCCTTTTTTCCTAATCCTTCCTAAGGATTGTTTCCTAATCTATGAAATCTAAATTAGACTAATCGCATTTCCCATTTTAATTTAGATGAATAATATAGGTCTTCAGGCTATGCAGAAAAAAAATGCCTTGATACTGCAGAGACTTCAAGCATATAAATACCACTACTCACAAGATATGTGTGAACAAAGGTTTCTGTAGGAGCAGGAACATAAACAATAAATCTAAACCTCAAATCATACATGAGCAAACAGATTTGCAAACAAACTCTTACAATAACTCATTTGGTCCCCAGCCTACTCTTTACCCCATTTTTACTGTGATGCTCTCCAGCCCTTTTCCATCGTATGGCCAGACATTAAATATGCCATGTGAACAAGCCAGAAGCATATTTGTTCACCTAGAAAAGCTCATCTGTACTCCCAGTATCAAGTTAAAATACCCATATATATCCATTATTTTACGTGACGTGTATCCATGATGCTGCTAGGGCAGTTACACTTTGGCCATGTGCATCACATTGTATCATAACAGAAAACAGATACTCTTTGCTTGTATCCTGACACCTGCTGGATATATATTAATTAGGTCACCTACAGCTCTAGAGTGCCTCTTCACAGCCCACTTTACCAAACAGCTGGCACCAATGAAGTAGGAAATGCTGTCCTGGTGTTTTAAGAAGAACAAAAGAGATGTTTGAGAAGAGGTACATCATAACTACATGTGACATACAGCTATAGACAAATGAAAGTAATTCAAAGAGTCTTAAGAGAGATTTTCAGGTCGCTTGTAACTTAGGAATGGTGCTGGGCACTTAGTGACTCTAAGACTATTCTGCAAGAGACTTCCCAGTAGACAGAATAGAAAACAAGTGCCATTTTCTTCACCCTCTGGAGGGAAATGGGGCCGAGGAGCCAACCCAAGCCCACTCCTCTCTCAGTGCTCCCCCTGTCATGGAGAGATCCCAC